GTTGCGAAAGAATGCACCACTCTCTATCCCCCTCGTGCCAAGTCTTGATGCTCATATTGCCGCAGAGCACCTGGCGGTCTTGCTTTGAGCGACAAACATCCGAAGCTGCGTCAGTAGAGGTGCGGTCAGTAAACCTTTAACCATTTTGGTGCGATCATTTTGATTGCAGCCCAAGCCTGTGCGTGATTCGCGACCACCATCTTCACCCTTCGCTTCGCATCTCGACCTTTTCGTCAACATCTCGCCGTGAGCACCAGTCGCGAGTCAGTCATCTGCCCTTCTCCCATTCGGTTAACCTTCACGACTCGTCATCAAATCCCGTGTGTGAACGGTAGCTCAACCTTTCCCAAGAACGTTCTTCTCCCAGCACCATCTCGACTCCGCACTTGTCCTCACGTGTAATCGCGACTTGCGATCTGAAACTTGAGCAGATCGAGCGATCCATCGATCCATCGGTGTCATCTGCCTACTGCTGCCGCGCTGCGCTCGTACGCAGGCCACTACGCCGCTTCCGTCATCCGCCGAGCGCTTCCGGCACGGGCACGTGCTGCGCTCGCGCCTCCACCTCCAATCTCGAATTCCTTTCACTTCCCATCAGCCTCACCTCAGCGACGCATCTTTGGCGATTCGCGCATTGTGCCTTTTGATTCATTTCGACGATTGATTCGCCAAGCGCACCACATCGATAGACAGGGGTCTCGCCGAACCCTAACATCCCAAGGCTGCTCGCCCTCTGCAATTTTGGCCAGACGTCCGCGTCGCCTTGTCAGCGATCGAGCTTGACACTCAGTCTTGCCCTTTCGCGTTACCCCACCATCCTACGCATCTTCTATCCCGTCGTTCTCCCGCCAGCACTTCCATCATCTCCGACTACAATCTGGACGCCGTACACCTTCTCTGCAATCGCGCATCATGGCCTTCTCACTCGTCGTCGATGACGTGACGCTCATCCTGTTGCTGCTCATCACAGTCACGCTCTCCCTCACTCTGTACATCTCCAGCCAATATCAACCCAGCATACATCCACTCATCTTGTCCCGCCAAGCTGATGTATCCCAAGTGCATGGCAAGGGCGAATCGCCAAAGTACAGAAATGCAAACTCGCCCGCTGGTTTCAACCTGGCCGAAAGACCTCGACCCTCCATCGTGGATGTGCCCGCAATCGTGGCTCACGGAGTGACGGTGGAGGAGGAGCAGGCAAAGAAGAGCAAAAATGGCGAGGTTGAACCCATCCAGGCACAGACTCTGTACGGCAGGGAGATCGGTTCGGTGGGTCAGCTGCGGGATCAGGCCGCAGCTTTCGCAGCTGGGCTAGTCAAAAGCGTTCACTCCAGTGACGCCAGCTTTTCGCTGGCTGTTTGCGCTCACAACGACTCTCTGGAGAGCTTGACCGCGCTGATTGCAGCATCTCACCAGACCACCATCGACTCGACGCCTTTCTCCACCCTCGTGACGCCAGCCGGAGGTGAGAGGATGCCTGTACTACCCTCAGGCGTCGGGCGCATTGCAGCCATCTTCACCACCCTCGACGCTCTCGACGATGCAGTACAGATCAGTCTCGACGACTCTGCGCTTCTAATACTTCCTACTCAATCCGACGCCGAGGTTGCATCCGGCAGATCGAGGCGTCGCGTTGTTTCTTTCGAACAAATGCTTTCGGCTGGCGCTGGCGCTCGAATGCCTACGTTTGGCACAGAACCCGAGCGTTTGTCACTGGCTTCTCGTGTGCATTCGCATTACTTGCTCGAAGGGCACTGGGTCCCCGTGACCAACGAGAAGCTCACCGCTGGACTGGTTGCGCAGCTTGGGTTCTTCCCAGGAGACGCCATTCCCAATGCAGAGGATCACATCTTTGTGGAGCGGCACTCCTCACTCCTAGCCACCGCTACACCAGCTGGTCTGGTCCTGGCTTTGCTTGCGGTCTTCACTCGAGCCTCGCTCACTGTGGATGCGCTCGTCAGCAGTCCATTCGACTCTCGCCCTGCTGTCACTGGTGCTCTCACCGATGCGAAGCCAACGCTGCTCTACGTGTCCATGAAAGGAGCTTCAAGTCTGAGCGCGGCGCTGACGGAGAGAGCCCGACGCACGCCGCTCGCTGGACCTGCTCTGCGTCTCAAGCTCGGCGGCCTTCGCCACGGCGCCCTATCTCAGACCGGCTTGGCCGATAGGCTGGTCTTTGACGATGTGCGGCAAGCTTTGGGGCTCCGTCGACTTCGCTCGGCGCTCATTTTGGGGGATGGAAATGCGTCTCAATCTCTTTTGGATACTTTGCGAGGCATCTTGGGTGTTGCAGTCATGCAGGCCTGGTTGCCATCAAATCTTTTGACGTCTTCTGTGACGGGAGTAAAGGTGGCTGCGACGGCGCCATTGTCGGCCACTCACTCTTTGGATCTGCAAGCTTTCGCCGATCACTCGATCAACTCCCACAGCGCACCTTATCACTCTGGTCCACCTGCCGTCAGTATCGAGCTCAAGCTTGTCGAAAGTGCTGCAGCGAAAGAGGAAGGCTACGTCGGCCGCTGTCTGGAAAAGGGAAGGGAAGGTGATTGGTCAGGTGAGGTCTACGTTGCCGGTACCACCCTTGCCGGTGCGAATGAAGAGAGCGAATACTGCTCCTCGAAGAGTATGGGCACAGTGAGACCCAACGGAACTCTCGTCCTTCTGCAAGATCCCCTTAAGACTCCATTGGCCAACGTCGGAACGCTCACAGGGAAATGGGCGTCCACACTTCCCAGTCGCAGAAAGACTAGCCAGCCACACAAGTGGTCTGCTGTAGCGCCTGTCGGTGTCTTGGCCATGATGCTCTTTTGCGCCCTGCCCACCGCTACAGCGGTCAACGTAAACAGCACCAATCTGGAGCTGGCCCGACTTTCCATGCTCGTCTCACAGAGGGCTTCCTGGGAGCAGGGCACCGCTCAATCGGCGCTTCTTGAGCTTGATGCCGGTGGCTGGTCCGTCTTCACAGCAGAGCGCGGTGGTCCCCCGTACTCGCCTCGCAGGGCTTCGAGTCGCGACCTGTCTAACCCGCCTTTACCGGTGATGGCGATGAGCTACCACTCCGTGTCTGCTCAGGATGGTCTTGGTAAGCTTTGCAGTCGTATCAGTGGAGACGAAAACAGGACAGCCGGAAGCGCTCTGGATCCTGCTTCTTGTCTCGAAGGAGTCCTCGTCAGCGCCTTTGCTAGCGGTCAGATCAGTGGCTCGACGCTGGGCTCGGGCTACTACGCCCAAGCGGCTAGAAGGATGATCGACTACCTCCTCGATACGGCTCCAAGGACAGTCGACGGGGCAATCAGTCACCGAGCAAGCTCTTTGGCTCTTTGGTCAGACGCCATTTACATGCTGCCCCCGGCTCTCGCTTCTTACGGCCTTATTACGAGCAACCAGAGTATGCTGCAGGAAGCATATGACCAAATTCGATGTGAGCACACGTGTCTAGATTGAGCTCTTTTTGCCAGATGGCAGCTTGTACTGCATCTGCACTGGCTGTCCGTCACACGTTTCCTGAGCATGGCAGTCCCTTGCCACTCTTTCTCTCTTTGTCATCCCATCTCTTCACATCACGTCCACCGCAATTTCCCCCTTCTCTTCCTTTCGCTTTCAATCCTGCTGCCTAATCGGCGCACCACCTTCCCTTTTGCGTTGTCGCCTGATCGGCACAAATGATGAATGCGGTACTCGCCGATTCAAAACACATCACAGTATATCGAGACGGGCTTCTGATAACGAGCGGACAAGCGTCGGGGATGTGGAACCATATCAATGATATCACGACTCCGAACGCGAGCGACTTGGGGGCCTGGTTGACGGGCCAAGGATGGGCGGTGAGCGGCATGAGTAGGGTGCTAGCTTCCTTCTCCCATTCCAATTTCGACTTGACCACTGAGAAGGAGGACATTGTGGAATGGGCCAAGGAGATCATGGACGCTTCGTACAGCTTTGCCGACCCTAGCACCGGATTGATTCGCAATTATGCCAACGAGACGGAGGAATTTTTGGATGCGGCGGGATCTGCACTGCTGGCTGCTGGCACCTTCCGAATCGCTTCCATCACGGGCGATCGGACGCACGTCGCATCGGCGGAAAAAATTTATCAAACCACCAGTCGTTCTCTGAACAATATAGGAAGCTTTGCCGGAAGGTTGGAAACGGTCGACGCTCTGGGATTCACCTTTGCGGGAGAAACTTCTCCTGAAGCGGTAGCTGCTCAGATGCTTCTTGCTGCTGCTAGACGCGACCATACCGCTGGCAACGTTACTGGCCTCAATGGTCCCGGAACAGGCTTCGAGGGCGGCGCGTTGAGCTCGGCTCATTTGCCTTCCACTCTTGTCGCTCTGCTCGCCGTCGCCTGCGCGAGCGCAGCCATACTTCTGTAGGTCTTCACCCAGAGTCCGCGATCGCCCCGCCTCATCTTTCTCTCCAGCAAAGTTTCCTCGAAACACGGACACCTGCAGCGCTCGATGCGCGTGCTTTGCTCTTCGCAAATGCCTCCCTTCCTTTCTGCTACTCCTGGACCTACATCATACAACAAACCCTGCCTCTCACCACTGCTACATCTTTTGGAATGCCTGCACAAAGTGCACCTTGGTCGTCCCTATCTTTGCTTTATTTATCTCGTGCAATTGCCATTTGCACCCCTGCAGCACGTACCCGTACTTGCATGCCAAATAGAATAGATAAGCGTCATCTCTCTTTCTCTCTCTCTCTCT